AATTCCAAGTTGGGAACAAGCCCATATTGTTACGGCTTTTTGATTTGCAGAAGGTCTAATTGTAATCATATAAAGAATAAAAAAAGGTTTTCTTTTCAAAACTTTGCATTTGTGTAAGTGAAATTTAGCCAAGATGATTAATAAAATTGATTAAAAAAAAGACATTTGGATTCATTTTTCCAGTCTGCTGAAGTCCAAACAGAAAAATGTTTCCAATATATTTGAAATCCTGTTGATATTTTTGAGTCAACGTGGRAACAAAAATGTTGCCAAAATACTTTTTGATTGGCGCGTTTATGCAAAACTTGCTTTCACTTTTCAAACATCACACGGAGGAAGAGCCCTCAGTGGGCAGTGTCCAGGTCTGCAAGTAGGAGTCTKTGSGGYCAAGTGGGCGTGTCACAAGGAAAGGCGATTCTAAAGCGAGACACCTGATTTGACGGACTTTCTTAAAGGGACACACCTGACTGGACAAGCAAAAAAAGGGGCGATACCGTACAGCACCACCTCATTAGACAAGAACAAAAGGGGCGTTACTGTACGGCACCACTTTTTCTGGAGAACCCTACTTGCGTCACATTTCTCCTGGCTAACCTTAGTGTTGGGATCAGGGTCAGGCTGTAAAGACATCAAGCAGGATCTATAAGGATACCGTCACGTAGGCCTCGTAGCCCACAGTCTTTATGCTTTTGACACYCCTACTCTTGTGACACGCCCACTTTGATTCCGTAGATAACCCCCTTCTCAGGTCTGGGGCAACTTCCGGTGTTGTGCGAAATTCAGTTCCCCTTTCCAGGACACTTAGGRGATATTTTGATTCTTCAATTTTTTTGTCATGTAAACAGCTGAAGAGCAGAAGAGTTTCTTTGCACTCACCGCTGAKCACAAACCATCATCGTCATGGACCCGCTGGACTTCCTCGACAACAAAGAGCTGCTGAGGTTCTTCCACCGCCGTAAAACCGAGATGTCCTGCATGGAAAACCCGCACATGTTCCTGAGCCAGCTCAGGGATTACAGCCTGGTCCAGGAGAAAAAATACAAGGTAACGTGTTTGTTGGTAGTCTCGTCCTCGCGTACAGGACTTTAGGCGGGAGAATCTGGACCAGCCTTCTCCTCACATTCCAGTGTGCGTGGCGCTTCACCCAACACTTCTATCTCTAACAAAACTGCAGGAGTTTTTACCCTCACAGTCACTACTCCGAATAGAAGTAAAATAATCATGTACTTCAGCCATTTTGAAACTCAAACTTCTGCCCAYCTGAGCTTTGAAAACTCTTTTATTGATTTAGCAGGGCTGGATTAAGACTTTAGAGGGGCTGGGGCAAGAATTAGGCCCCCCACTTTTGTTATCCTTAATAATTGATGGTTTATTGGTTCATTTAAAAAAAATTATAGTGCATTTATTTTCTTAGATAAACGGTTCCTACAGATCCTTAAAAAGTCTTAAAAGGCATTGAATTCATCGATCCAAAAAATAAGGCCTTAATTAGCCTTAAAATGTCTTAAATCAATCTTTCAGAAGTCTTAAAAATGTTAACACATTGTAAATAGGATGATTGTAATTTGTCTCAAATATTAAAATAATTGATAACATTTTTTAAACGTTCGCATGCAGACATTCCTCTTTGACATCACTTCCTGTTGCTTCACATGCAAATAACTCAACAACCGTCTGTCTGAGCATTGTGAAATTTGTTTCATATGTCAATAATGTATTTCCAAAAATGTATTGACATTTCTTACAAAAAAAGTTGATGTCACAGGCACTTTAAGGTTTCATCTACAGCAAATTAGGGTTAAGACGCCACTGTGGGTCCTAAAACTCCAAATTTTGTGTCGTTAGAGAATTTCCAGGAATTAAATTAAGTTAAAACTGACTGCTAAGAATGTTTTTGCTATATTTGACAAAAAAGCAGTTCGATATGGTAAAAAACAATTGGTTTATTAGGAATATTTGAATACTTCAACCAAAAATACTTTGATTCCTGAGTTTCTTCCAGTTTTTATTCTTTGTCCTTTGTGTTTATTGTGAAATTGGTCTTAAATTCAATTTAATTTGGCATTAAAAAGTCTTAAATTTAACTTTCCTTAAACTGTAAGAACCCTGGATAAAACAACATGCAAAATGAGAAGATATTTCAAAATGTTATGGCCATATGGTTTTTAAGGATGTATTCACAACAGGAAAGTCCTTTGGTCCACTTGTTTGGTCTGGAACAATAGTGGGCTTTATTTTTTCGTTTGGTGCGGTTTGCATTCATATTGTGCTTTTTTGTAAGTGGACTGTAATTTATAAACAAAGCCACGTGGGTGACGTTCATCGCTCCCATTGGACAGAAAGAAGGGGACAGCGGTCGGAACACAGCGCACAGACCCGGAAATAAAGATGGAAGTCCTGCGTGCTGTATTTATGTGGACATTCGTTCTGTTGGAACAATTACAGTACCATTTTGAAATTCAAGAGCAGCTCATTCAACATCGGTTTAATGACGTTTTACTTCTAATTTTGGAACGCGCCGGCGAATGCGTGCCGCAGCTCGAAGAAGACGAGATGCTCTCTGCACTCTGACACACAACATACTAGCAGTAGCACTGGTAAACAGAAGACGGCGGATCAGGTATGCTTTCTAAACATTTACTACCACTTCAGAACACTGATTTTTTGGGGCTGCATGTTGCGTAGTAATACGATTACTTGAATGAAAACGCTACCATTATCAACACAACTCTGTAAAGATACGTTTTACCATCGGTAACATCATATCTGTTTAAAAATGTAGTGTGTGTGACAATTATCTCTATTAAAAACATATGTTTTTTCCCAACACATTGCTTCATGTGAAGCCCATAACAGCAAGAGCTAACCCTCTAGGGTTCACATTTTATATTTTAACTCTTGTTTACATAAATGAAAAAAAAAATACAGCCTAATTAAATTTATACACTTCACTGTTCATATTGCACTATACATTCATACATCACCACTGCCCACACTGTTTTGCTCATGTCATCTTACAATGTGACCTTTTTTTTCTTGTTTCACAGTAGGGTTGTGCAAAATCATGCAATTAATCGTCAGAAAAACATTAATCGATTATTTTTTGACACTTGACGATTAATGTCACCAGACAGACTGACTGGAGATTTTCCCAGTCAGTTCACTCGGTGCTCCTCTACGCTTCAAATATGATGAACATTTTAAAAAAGTTCTTTATTTATCGTAACTCCGGTTTTACTTGGTCAATCAACACAATTTAAAAATTGATATAGCCTGAAGTTTGTACTTTTGACACAATTTGGAACAAATCTTTCTCACTAGAGTGATTTAAATTGGTCATATAAAAAGGGCGTGCAGGCATCCAGGGARGGGATTGGATGGGATTAATTGTCATATAAATCGTTATCGGCTAAAGACCACAATTAATCGTGATAAATCTTTTTGCCAATATCGCCCAACCCTATTTCACAGGAGGACCTGGGTCAGTCCACGTTCACGTGATTGGTGGCAACTCATTCAAACACCTTGGACAGACAGAGACTGGTTAAAAAAAATTTAGAATGAGAAAATATACCTTTCAAAACCTCTGCAGTGTTCTACAACCCTATTTAACTTGGCAGCACACAAGGTACAGAAGACCTCATTCAGTGGAGATACGTGTGGCAATTTGTTTATGGAGACTCGCCACTAACTTGGAATTCAGGTCCGTCTCCCACCTTTTTGGAGTTGGAACATCAACATGCTGTCTCATCACCCAGGAAGTAGGGTTGGGCATAATCGTATCGTGTGCAATTAATCATCAGAAAAACATTAATCGATTATTTTTTGGCACTTGATGATTAATACGATTAATGCCATCAGGCAGAGTGAGTGGAGATTTCCCCGGTCAGTCTGCTCGGTGCTCCTCTCCACTTCAAATATGACGAACATTTAAATAAAAGTTCTGTAATTTATTTATCAACACAATCTAAAATTTGAAGTATAGCCTTAAGTCTGTGATTTTGACAGTTTGAAAAAGATTTTTACGAAGAGCAAATCTTTCCCACTAAATTGGTCATGTGACTAGGACATAAGGGTGTCCAGGGACTCCAGGGGATTAATCGTCAAATTAATCGTTATCGGCTAAACACCACAATTAATCGTGATTAATTTTATTGCCAATATCGCCCAACCCTACCAGGAAGTAATAACAGCTATAAATACAGTGTTGAAACCACATTACTTGAAGAGACCTTGTGCAGCTGACTGCAGGAAAATAGTTCAAGGATTTAAAGATAAATGGAGATTCCCACAAGTTGTAGGAGTCATTGATGGTACTCWTGTGCCCATCAAAGCCCCCACAAACACACCAGCAGACTATTTTAATAGAGAGGGCCAACATTCTGTCATCCTACAGGCAGTTGTAGACGACAAAATGAGAATATGGGACGTAAACTTTGGGTGAGTGCATGATGCTCGGGTTTTGCACTCTCTTCTCTATTTGATCAGACTGAGAGGGGCGAACTTTTTCCACATTGGAATGAAACAATTGAAGGAGTAAACGTTCCTCTTTTAATTGTAGGTGATGCTGCCAATCCATTACTCCCCTGGCTTATGAAGCCATTCTGAGAGAGCAGAGATATGACTGTTGATCAAAGTAACTTACAGACTAGGGTTGGGCAATTTTGGCAAAAAAAATTTAATCACGATTAATTGTGGTATTTGGCCAATAACGATTAACTTGACGATTAACCCCCTGGAGTCCCTGCACACCTTTATGTCCTAGTCACATGACCAATTTAGTGGGAAAGATTTTCTTTTCATAAAATCTGTTCCAAATTGTGTCAAAATCACAGACTTCAGGCTATATATCATTTTTAAATTGTGTTGATAGATAATTAAATT